ATACAGTTAATAATCTATTATTTTTTATATTGTGTTTGCTTCGAATAATACTTGCCATAAACCTATTTCGACCACATCCGGTCATTTGACCAGGAGAACAATTTATTGCTTTATAAGGTTATCGTATCAGAAATTGCGATGTAATGCGCGTTCAGCGTATTGCATTAAATTAGTTGCACAGTTGCGTGGTTAGTTGCAAAGATTGTTGCGCGGTTAGTTCATACGGAATAACTGTAAATTCAAATTTCTAGAAAGTACCTAAAATTTTTGATTGACATTTTCGTGTAAGAAAAAGTGACAAAAACTAAATGTTTTGGTAAGTAGCTTATATTTTGTTTTGATAGCTTTACTTCATTTTTAACTAACTGTTAGTTTTTACCCAGAAAAATGTCGAAACAATCAAGACAGCACAAGTTCTTAGAGGAAATAATATTAAGGGAAGCAAGACGTTTTCGATGTTGAGAAAATGATTTTTTCAACCATATCGACTAGCCATTTTTTCTTAATATTAAATACATTTTAAAACTTTACATTTATGAAAACTACATATTAATATCATTCATTAACATTAAAAAGGAATTTAAAATGTTTATAAATTTAATTTTTATAAATATTTGAAAATTTAATGTATATATAATTTTTTTTTTACCAGACATAGCTTTCGGTACGCTTAAAAAATTTTCTACATGAAATATCAGCAAAAAATTGGCATACACTCATGTAAATATGTTTGAAAAATCAGGTGAAATAGTTTGTTTCATAATATGTACAGAATATATTATATATAAGCAAAATAAATGTAGTATTTCAGAAAAAAAATTTTAAATTTCGTTCAAATTTTGAAAACATTCCCCTGTATAACAAAATTATAATGAAAAAAATAAACTTTATATAGTTGATTAAATGTAAATAAGATATATACACAAGCATAGAAATTTTCATAACTTTACAATGATTTGTTTTTTGTACGAGCGTACCGAAAGTTATGTCTGGTAAAAAAAAAAAATTATATTTACATTAAATTTTCAAATTCTAATAAAAATTAAATTTATAAACATTTTAAATTCCTTTTTAATGTTATTGAATTAGATTAATATGTAGCTGTCATAACTGTAAAGTTTAAAGTCTTAAAATGTATTTAATATTAAGAAAAAATGGCTTGTCGATAAGGTTGAAAAAATCATTTTTTCGACATCGAAAACGTCTTGCTTCCCTTAATTATAGGAATCATTACAAGGATTATAATTCTTATATATTATAATTATAAGAGTAATAGAAATAATAATAATTAGAAGAAATATATGTTTGCGGAAAATGCACAATGGACTCACCCTATATATGTAAAAAATGTGTTGAGCAATGAATTAAAAATTCTTATTCTTTGTGTTTGTAATACATAAAAATTGGCAAGATACCATTTTGTTTAATTATAATGAAGTTCTTTTTAATTTATTTTCTTCCTAACATTCATATTTCATACATTCAATCAAGAAACATAAAGTCCGGTCATTTGACCAGCTATGGTAGAAATAGGTATAGATTAAGTGTTCGTACGTTTAGTGTTAAGTATTAAAAATTATGTTGTATAATAGTACTATTTAATTCCATATTGAATCTATGAAAAGAACCAGATAAAACAGAGAAATAATTAAGGCTGAAGTCAATTCCAATTGCCAAAAATTCGAATTATCTAAAAACTAATACAGAGTGCATAGCTTTTTAAAAAGTGCTTAAAGACGCTTATTTTTGATTTACGTTTTTTAAAAGCCCTTAAAGGTGCTTTTTTCATCCTCGATCAAATATGAATAGTATGTAAATTGATAGAGGGTTTTTGCGCAAAAAATTTTCAGGTTTTTTTACTTTGTGTCACAATTGTCCCTGCTTAATGTTTAGTTTGCTTAATTTGAAAACCTTACCAGTTACTTCATCGATTCTACTCTGAATATTAAATTGGTTATGAATATCTAAATTTATTTTCTCTTTCTCTCTCTTCGATTGCTTGNGCGCGGAACCCCCAGTGTTTAGTTCCCAAGCATGCTTGGTACTCATTTATCGACCCACTGAAGGGATGAAAGACTGAGTCTACCTTGCCCGGCCCGAGGATCGAAATCAGGACCTGTGGCACGGGGAGCGCGGAGCGTTACCACTCAGCCACTGGGCGTCAAATTTAATGTTAAGTTTTCTGAATTTGAAAAGTTTACTGATTACTTCTCTGTTGATTCTGCTCTGAATGTTAATTTTGATTATGAGTATTTAATTTCTTTCTCATAGATTATATGAAAATATTAAGTCTAAAATTAATGTTAAGTTTTCTGAATTTGAAAACTTTACTGGTAACTTCACTATTGATTCTGCTCTAAATTTTAAACTTGATTATGAGTATTTAATTTCTTTCCCATAGATTATATGAAAATATTAAGTCTAAAATTAATGTTAAGTTTCCTGAATTTGAAAACTTTACTGATTACTTCACTATTGATTCTGCTCTGAATGTTAATCTTGATTCCGAGAATTCAATTTCTTTCCGATAGATTATGTGAAAATATTAAATCTAAAATTAATGTTAAGTTTTCTGAATTTGAAAACTTTACTGATTACTTCTCCATTGATTCTGCTCTGAATTTTAAACTTGATTATCAGTATTTAATTTCTTCCTCATAGATTGCTTGCCAACGTAAAGTCTGCTCGAGTTAAATATGTGCACTGGAGCAGTGATATGAGCCATGTTGCTTTCTTCAGCAAGCATACCCTTACCATGTGCAACCGTCGTCTCGATGTTTTGTGTACCATTCAGGAGAACTGCAGATTGAAAAGTGGTTCATGGGATGATAACAATGTTTTTATTTACACAACATCCAATCACATTAAATATGCACTAACAAATGGGTAAGTTACATTTTGTTAAAATTTTTTTAAAATTCAAGTGATTTTATATTTATAATGTTTTCTCTTTCGTTTTCAGTGACCACGGCATCATTCGAACGTTGGATGTACCAATCTACATAACTAAAGTGAAAGATTCTAATGTGTATTGTTTGGATAGAGAATGCAGACCCAGAGTTTTGACTATTGATCCCACAGAATACAAATTCAAACTTGCACTTGTGAATCGAAAATATGAAGAGGCAAACCTCCTTTTACTTTTATTTAATTGATTTATTAAAGTTTTGAATCTTTTATTAGTTAGTTCAAATAATTTCATTTGATACTTACTGTTTCTTTTAAACCAATGCTTTTTACATCAAAAATTAAATTAAGGCAATCTACTTTTTGCTTTTATTGAATTGATTTATTAAAGTTTTAAATCTTTTATTATTTAATTTAAATAATTTCATTTAATTCTGTTTCTAAACCAATGCTTTTAGATCAAAAATTGAACTAAACCAAGCCTTTTTTTACTTTTATGTAATTGATTTATTACAGTTTTGAATCTTTTATTTAGTTCAAATAATTTCATTTAATACTGTTTCTTTTCAACCAATGATTTTAAATCAAAAATTCAATTAAGGCAAACCTCATTTTACTTCTATTTAATTGATTTATTAAAGTTTTGAACCTTTTATTATTTAGTTTAAATAATTTCATTTAATACTGTTTCTTTTAAACCTATGCTATTATACTGAAAATTGAATTGAGGCAAACATCTTTTTACTTTTATTTAATGGATTTATTAAAGTTACTAAATTGATATATTTTATTATTGAGTTTAATCAATTTCATTTAATACTGTTTCTTTTAAACCTATACTTTTAAATTGAGAATTAAATTAAGGCAAACCCCTTTTTAATTTATTTAATTGATTTATTAAAGTTTTTATTTATTAAGTTTAACTATTTTAGTAGTTACTTTTGATTAGATTACTTTTTGCCCAAAAATGTAAACTTTTACCAAAACCAGAACTATTGAATGGTTATTAAATATTAAAATGAAAAAGTATTAAATAGTAAAATAATTTTAATTTTGAATGTTTGAAATATGTTATGCATATTTCAGCATGACAAGAATATAAACTTGATTTAATATTAATCACACTGGCATTCGTTTTACAAAAAAATTATTGTTTGGTGTTTTAATTTATTAGAATTTAATAGTTTTATTCAGTGTAAAAGTTTAAATGTAATTTTAAAAATTCTTAGGTTTTACATATGGTAAGGAATGCCAAATTAGTTGGACAGTCCATCATTGCATATCTTCAAAAGAAAGGCTATCCAGAAGTTGCCTTGCATTTTGTAAAAGATGAAAAAACTAGATTTGCTCTTGCATTAGAGTGTGGTAATATTATGGTAAGAAGCAATTTTATATTTCGTACACAGCCTTACATACCTTTTTTTTCCCTTTAGGAATTTCATTTTGAATTCATGGTTAAGAGTATGTTAATACTTTGTTTTAACTCTATGTTAATACTATATCATGCCTGCCAAGTCACCTATTTTTTAACAAAGGCTCCTGTATTTTACGACTATCTCCTGCCTACCCTTAAATTCTTAAATTTCTCCGTATTTGTTGAAAAAATTTTTAAAAAACTTTTTAGCAATAAAATATTTGCTAATGGCAAAAATACATCTCTTATTCCCCAACAGAAGGTGCTATTGCTAGTAATGCAGTATGTTGAGTGTTAATAGTTTAAGTAATTTTGAATAATGGTTTAAAAAAATCTTCTTTAGATTAAGATTTATAAGACAAACATATTTTTTACTTCGCTAAATGTAATTGCTTTTATTTCCAATTCTTAATTTCTTTTTTTGACTTACATGATTATGCATGATGTATCAAAAGTTTACTGGTAGCCCAAAAAAGTCGCCTGTAAAATCTCCATTATTTTATTTCTCCAATGTTAACAGGTATGCTTTATTCTCTGGAATGTTATACCATATTAAAATTATATTGCTTGTAAAGATTTTGTGTGTATATGTACCCTTACATGCCCAATGGAGCATTTAAATATTTAATCAGAAATTACATAAATTGCAAATGAATTGCCCCTCAAAATTTGACCATTAATAACCATATCTACTGGATTTTCCAGTTTTGTCAGTTTCTTCTGATCTACTGGTTCAATAAGAAATCTCTTGGTTTTTATACGTTTTAAAAAATTCATTAAAATTGAGTAAGTTTCCTAAAGAAAATCCCTATTGAAATAGAATTTTTGCAAAGATTATTCTTCGAATATTTAAATAAGTCAGATATGATCGTGCTCCAGAAAATATCTGGATTTCCGGATTTTTCGCCAACCGCAATCTGGTAGTTTCAAGAAATCATCCATCACATTTATGTATAAAAATTCTTGTATATTTTATTTAGAAATATTAGAACTAAAATTTACACTTGGCATCTCTTCCATTTGTAAATATTTTTTCTAGTAGAATAATAAATGCGATTAGACATAAAAGTAAACTTATACATAATTATTCATCTAAATTATGCTGCATATAATTTATTTAGATTTTCATGTTTTGAAAATATCAATAATTTAAATTTATAAAGAAGTTTTTTTAAATGCGTCATTATTGATATTACTAAGGAAATTTTCAGAATTTTTATGTTGGACTCACAATCACCCCATGATAAGTATTACTACATAATAAAGTGAGTCTCTCTTGTAGAAATCAGTTAAAAACTTTTTTTGTTCAAAGATATTCAGTTTATTTTTTATTCAGAACTCTGTTTTTAAATTAATTAAAAAATCTTTTAACTATCTTTGATGAATTAAATGTCTCTTACTATTCAAAATTATGAGTTAACATAATGACATTAAAGATTATGAGTAAACATGCATTTCAAGTATATTTCATGTCAATCATAACTGAAAAATATTGCAATTTTTCTATTTTGATGGCTATAAAATGTCCCTAAAATTTCATATGTGTAGAATATTTAGTACATTATGCAAAAATTATGAAATTTATATTATTTTGTAAAATCTACTGAATTTCTATCATCCGTGTTGACAGCTGTGAAAAGCAAATAAACTGCATTAGAGGGAAAATCAATTATGCTTGCTAAGATTAAATTATATTTGCTATAATTGAATATAATTTAAGAACTTATGAAACAAAGTTTGCTTATTCTTTCTCATTTGACATTTATTTTTATTAATTTTTTTTTTATTTTAGTCTCTGTTTATAAGACAATAGTTAATATAAAACTAGGAATTGCAATTGAGAAATTCAAGAGGAACATCATTTTAAAATAAAATGTTAAAGGGCATGTATTTCGGATAATACGTAATTCTGATTATAACATTTTTGTTAATAATAATTAATGTACTTATTCCATCAGTGCTTTATTGTTTTCTTGGTAATAATACCTTACACTTTGTTACTAACTAATAATCATTTAATACTTGTTTATACTTTAAATAAAAATATAAATAAGAAGTATTAAGCTTATCTAACACTTTAAATAAAAGATGGGGATGACTTTATATAATTTTTTTCGACGGATTGATAATAAGAGTTAATTTATAAATTTTCATCGAAAACTCTATTTGACCAGATAAATTTTGTTTGCCTTGTATTTTCTAGACTAACGATCCTGGCAGGACATCTAAAAATTATGAGATTTTTTGAAGCAGGCATGTTCAGTAAAAGTAACTTAGTAATTTTTCTTTATAGGTTGCTCTTGATGCTGCTAGGATCCTGGATGATAAAGCATGTTGGGATAAGCTTGGTGAAGCTGCTCTACTTCATGGCAACCATCAGGTAATTTAGAATTTTGTTCTAAATTAAGCCTCTTGAATATAATCCATTAAT